ATAGCCCTCAGAATCACAGCAACTCAAACCACCACAGCACGACAGACAGACGAGTGGTGGCCGTTTGGTTTTATGTCTATACTGTCTCTTTAAATTTTGATGTAGTTTAGGGTTTAATTTTCAGCCTATTTCCTTTTTAGTCTGCCTGTCCTGCTCCACAATCCCAGTTCAGGCCTTTTATTCTAGTTATAAACAGTTCAGGGCTGGCTGTGGCCATTTGGTTTTAAGTGGAAACTGGCTCTTTAATTTTCAAGGAGATCTGTGCACATGCGTAGTAGAACCCTTTGAGGGTGGGACTGGGGTGTCCACTCGCTCAGGCACTCCTATAGTCACCAGAATGGAGGTGCGCAGACAGCAAGGAACCAATGAAGAGATATCAAAAGAAAAGAATGTCCATGCCTTTATCTCCGCAGTTCTCTCAGGTGTCCGTGGCTGCTCTGATCCTTTCCCTGCTTGGTCTCACCTAAGATGGCAGCTCCTGAAGCAGCTGAGCGTCTTGAATTAGAAAGCAATGGATTTCTTGCTTCTGCTACAAATTCCCCTAGCTGTAAGCCTTCTAATCTTCTAAATATTCCTTTATATGTGGTTCAGAGTTCTGGGACCATCCCCTGAGCCTGTTTTGTCCTGTATTCTGTGTTGTTGCTGACCGAGCTCTTCACTGCACTTCCTCTTGATCCGCCATCTTGTTTGTTCTCCCTTGAAATGTTCTTTTTGACAATGAATGTGACACTATTCCTCTTCAATTTGTAGTTCCTGGCATAGCAAACCATGACTGATTTTAAATGGCCAATACCTGTCCATTTCCACTCACTACTGCCTCAGATATCCACCTTTATGTGCTTCATTTCATTTTTGACAACTAACAATTTTCTTAGATTCATACATACTTTATACATCCCACCTTGTGGTTATTAATAGATGTTTACAGTTGTTTCTTTTAGTTTTGAGTTGTGTCCTATCAGCAAATGAAGGTCCTGAAAGCTTAATTCCATCCATGTCATTAAGGTCAGCTCTACTTTGGGGAGGTAGCTGTTTTAGAGTCGTATTTTCAGTGCCTTCCAAACTGATGGGCTCATCTTCTAGCAGTATATCTGACAAGGTTCTGTTGTTATTCCTAAGGTTTTCAGTGACTAACCATTCAGAAGTGGTTGTGTCTCCTTCTTCCTAGTTTGTCTTAGTCTGGAAGTTCTGATGGAGAGGTACTTATATCTAAATACCTGCCAGTGTTTAAAATAATAGCATAGCCTCCAGCATCAAAGCATCACGCAAACCAACACAGTAAGACAAACTGACAGACGAGTGGTGGATATCCTTTTATAATGAACACGAATTCCTACTAGAAATGCACGTTCCACAGAGGGTCTCGGGAAGTTCCCCAGTGCAGTCATGGGTGGATTTTTTCAAGGCTTTCCCTTCTCGTCCACAGGCTCTGGAAAAACCACATTGCTGGACGCCATGTCCGGCAGGCTGCGGCGCACCGGGACCTTGCTGGGGGAGGTGTGCATGAACGGACGCACACTGCGCAGGGAGCAGTTCCAGGAATGTTTCTCCTATGTCCTACAGGTGGGCGTGTCCCCAACAGCCCCTGCCGGGGGGCCCCCCCCCCCCCCCCCCCCCGGGCTCTTGGCTGATGCTGATGCCTCCCTCTCCCACAGAGTGACACTCTGCTGAGTAACCTCACCGTGAGGGAGACGCTGCGCTACACCGCGCTGCTGGCCATCCGCAGAGGTTCCCGGGACTTCTTCCAGAAGAAGGTGGGTACTGCCTGTCCTCAGAGAGGTCCCAGGTCTCAAGCAGGGCACAAACCTGAGAGACTCAGCAGCCCCCAATGGCTTTTCCTATTAGCCTCCACTCGTCTATTCGTCCCCTTTCCTCTCCACCCTCTGTTTTAGAGTCTAGATCTGCCCTGTCCAACAAGCAACCAGTACTGAGAGGTGGTTTGTGAACACTTGACATTGGACCAGTCCTGAGATGTGCTGTATGTGTAAAATACACAACAGATTCGGGAAGCCTAGTCTGAAAAAACCGAATGTAAAAGGTTTCAGGTATTTTGGTAGTATTGATTCCATGTTGAAATACTATTTTGCTTATATGTTGTTGTTGTTTAGTGCCGTCGAGTCGGTTCCTATTTGCAGTGACCCTGTATAGGGTTTCAGAGGAGCGGCTCGTGGTTTTAAGCCACCGGCCTTACTGTTAGCAGTCCAGTGCTTATCTAACAGGATACATGAGGGAGCTTTTTAAAATTATTGGGAAATACCAGTTTTCCTCATGAACTTTTTGAAGCCTTCTCATATTGAGTTGGAGTTCTGGTGTGGCGCTGTAGGATAAGCACTGGGCCAGAAGGTCAGCAGTTCAAACCCAGCAGGTGATCCTCAGAAACCCTATACAAGGTTACTATGAGTCAGAATCAGCTCCACGGCACTTAACAACAACAAAATATCGAGTTGGAGTCCTGGTGTGGCCCTACAGAATAATGCACAGGAACATAAGGTCGGTTTGAATCCCAAGGTCGGTGGTCATTACAAATAGGTTTGAATCCCTATGCAGGGTCATTACGAGTTGAAACACTTAACAACAACAGCATATGAAAGTAAACTATATTAATAAAATTAATGTCACTTTTTAAAATAAGGCTACAAAAATGAAAGTGCTATACATGGCTTGGAGTCCTGGTGTGGCGCTGTGGGCTAATGAGTCAGACTGCAAAGTCGTTCGCACTGTAAGGTCGGTAGTTCAAGCTCACCAGCTGCTCCTTGGAAACCCTATACAGGGTCACTATGGGTTAGAATTGACTGGACAGCACTTAACAACAACAACAGCATATATGGCTTGCATTGTCTTTCTATTTACGTAACTCTGTCCTAAGGGGTGCGGATTTGGACAGACATTACTATTCCCACCCTTCCCACCCAAGGAGCCCTAATAGTGCAGTGATTATGCAACTTGGCTGCTGACTGAAAGGACACTGGTTTGAGCCTGCCAGCCACTCAGTAAAACAAAAGACCTGGCGATCTGCTTTTGTAAGGCTTACAGCTTAGGAAACACTACTAGGCAGTTTGATTCTGTAGGATCTCTGTGAGTTGGAATTGAGTTGACAGCAATGTGTTTTTCCTGCTCTGCCCTACTGCTTGTTGAGACTTTCCCCAACTTTCTTTGAGACATCTGAACAGACCTCACCTAGAATGCATTAGGAATCCCGGTGTGATGCAGTGGGCTAATGTGCTAGACTGCAAAGTCAGTTTGAACCACAAAGTCAGTGATTCAAGCTCACTAGCTGCTCCTTGGAAACCCTATACAAGGTGGCCATGGGTTGGAACTGACTTGACGGCAGTTAACAACACAAACAACAACAGGATGGATTAAGTTAATGATGGGAGGAACTAGTGAATCATTCATTCTTTTCGGCCTTCAAGTTTTTCCTTAAATGTGCCCAATCTGGAAGTAGCTGAAAGCGAACTCATTGAGGCTTTAGCTGTAAATACTGTCCTCCTGCTCTTGGGACTGTGAAGGTCTGGGAGCACACAGGGAATCAGCATCAGGTAGATACTGCCTTTGAAACTTGGCACTGCCACCTAGGAAGTAGGCTCCCTGAACTGCCAGGGGAGAGCAGTAGAATGTGCCCCAGCAGGGGCCTTGGGCTTGTCCTCAGCACAGAGATCCTATCTGCCATGCAGGTTCCAGTTCAGGCCCAAAGGTTGGCCTTTCTTGAATGCCATCTAGACTCTGAGGGACTCCGCCTTCTCAGCTGAGAGTGCAGGACTCCCCCTTTCAAAGCTCAGCCTGCCACCAGTGAGACTGCTGATCCAGGTCTGGACTCTCCGACAGGGCTTAAGGAGAGTGCAACTAGAGTTCTGAGTGCCAGCAGGCTGGTTTGTTATTTGTGAAGCTTCTTGGGGATGGGACACATTCTAAGTGATTAGGCAGCCTCTTCTGTTTGAAGGTTCTAAATTATCCTGGAGTACAGTTTTCATTCTAGAGGAGCCTGGTCCTTAAGAATGACCATCAGCATCACCATGCCTGCCCCTGCTTCCTCTCTGAAGGTTACCTTTGGGTGTTCAGAAAGTATTGCAAGATTATTGCTATTTTATGAGGTTGTACTCTGAGGTATCATATGTGGCTGGCATTAGGGCTTGTTCATACAAACAATCTTATTCTTACATCAATTCTGTGAGGGAGATATTATTTTCATCTTTCAGATCAAGAAACTGACACCTAAGGAGATTAAGATCAGACAGCTGCTGATGGCAGAGCTGGGACATGAGCATAGGCCCTCTAGGTTCAGCAGGACACCCTGAGCCCCAGAGTTTCTTGAGAGGCCTCCTCTGGGATCTGAGAGGAGGGAGGCAGATTATGAAAGACAGGCATGTTCACATGACTTATTGGCCCAGAAAGGGAGTGACAGATGAGGGACCAGGCCACAGTCCCTCTGCAAGTCTTCTTTCTCTCGGTGTTACTATTTCTGTCTCTAAACTAGGTAGAAGGAATCCCATATTTGCGTGGGATATGAGGTAACGATCTATTTACATCACTTACTCCCACTGAGAGAAACTGAGAAAGCCCCAGAAAGTGTACATATTTGCATAAATATGATTGATGATAAATTTGTTCCCTTAGTGAATGGCCCCTCTCCCTAGTACTGTCAGCCCCTTAATGTCCTTCAAAGGTACACAGCACAACTTCTCCCTACTTGAGAGTACTTTCTGAGAAAAGCCAGTTTATAGGGTGTAAACTTCTTACAAAGTCATTCAGTGCGAAGGAATGCTGGTAATAACATATGAGACAGACTAGCAGATCTACTTCTGTCCTCTGAGGAACCAGTAACCCATGACTGAGGTGGGCAGGTTTGTCTCCTAGGCTGTAGGTTAAGCTGATGCTTCATGGACTACTTGTGAGATTCCAGGCAGTTCTATTACCAATGCCAACTCTACCATTTTCTAATGGCATGTTCTGGGTATTTCTGAGAATCTGTTTTTTGCTCTATAATGTACAGGGTAATGTATCTCTCCATGATGCATTGGGGTGATGTGAAGAGTCAATCAGATTATACTGTGAACGCACATGGCATAGAGTAGAGGGAAGAGTGTTCATGGATTCTCTCCCATCCCCCTTCAAGTCCCTGCCCTGCCATTGACTTTGGTAGCTTTGGTTTTCTCATTTATAGAGAGGGTTAGAGTTGATCCCAATTTATTGAGTTCCATTCTCAAAAATGTTTGCAAAACATGGGGGAAGCTTCCTGCTGGGGCCTGAGACATCTGAGACAGATGGCGAAAACATCTCCTCCACCCATCCCTTCAAACTAGGGGTGACCAGCTTTACTTCTTTGTTGATGCTGGAGAGAAGATGAAAAGGTTCAAGAATCTGCCTGGCTCATGTGAACACAGACTTAGCCAAGTGAAGCACAGCTCAGTTCAAGGATCCTTTTACTCTGATGGCAAGAGAAGACCTTTCTTTTTTTCTCCAGGACAGTTTTCTAGTTTATTTATGCATTTTTACTTCCTCATTACTGCTTTGTATCAATTTCAGATTTGTCCTTTTATTTGGCCAAAACTTCATCTATTCTATTGATCTCACCACCAACTATTCCTCTGAAACTTTTTTGTTTGGATTTTTAATGCGAAGTTTTGGGTTCTCTTTATTATAAAAGTAACACAATCTTATTAGGGATGCTTGGGGACAAAATGCATTGCCACATAAGTATTCTCAGACACTTCCCACCCCCATCCCCGTGGTCTCCTGCAAATAGAGGTAATCAGTAAGGTTGTTGTTAACTGCTGTGACTCATAGGGACTGTGCATAGGGTTTCTGAGGAGTGGTTGGTAGATTTAAACTGCCGAACTTGTGGTTAGCAATTCAGTGCTTATCCTACAACACCCCACCAGAACTCCAGTCAGTAAGGGGAGGAAGAGACATAAAGAATTTTGGCTGGGTCTCTTGGAGATGAGATAAACTAAGGAAGGATAATGCTGATGTTGTTAAGTGTTGTCAAGTCGGTTCTTACCCATAGCGACCCTGTATAGAGTTTCCAGGGAGTGGCTAGTGAGTCTGAACCACCGACTTTGCACTTTAAACCGACTTTGTAGTCCAATGCATTAACGTTCAGTGCCACAGCAGGATATTGTTGTTGTTGTTGTTAGGTGCCATTGAGTCAGTACCGACTCATAGCAACCTTATACACAGCAGAATGAAACACTGCCCGATCCTGGGCCACCCTCACTACTGTTGCCATGCTTGAGTCCATCGATGCTGCCACTTGGCCAATCAATCTTGTTGGGGGTCTTCCTCTTTTTCTCTGACTCTCCACCTTACCAAACATGATATCCTTCTCCAGTGACTGGTCCCTCCTGACAATATGTCTGAAGTATGAGAGACATAGTTTGGCCATTTTGGCCTCCAAGGAGCATTCTAGCTGCACTTCTTTGAGAATGAATCTTTTGGTTCTTTTGGCAGCCCATGGCACTTTCAGTATTCTCCTCCAACACCATAACTCAGATGCTTCAATTCTTCTACAGTCTTCCTTATTCACTGTCCAGCTTTCGCATACATATGAGATTATTGAAAATAATCTTGGTTTGGGTTAGGCACACCTTAGTCCTCAAACTGATATCTTTGCTCTTCAACACTTTTAAAAGGTCTTGTGCAGCAGATATGCCTAATGCAATACGTCCTCTGATTTCTTGACTCCTGCTTCTGTGAGTGTTGATAGTTGATCCAAGAAGAATGAAGTCTTTGACAACATCAGTCTTTTCTCCATTGATAAGAATGTTGTTTATTGGCCCAGTGGTGAGGATTTTTGTTTTCTTTACATTGAGATGTAATCCAAAGGCTGTGCCCTTTGATCTTCATCAGTAAATGTTTTAAGTCCTCTTCACTTTCAGCAAGCAAGGTTGTATGATCTGCATATTGCAGGTTGTTAATGAGTCTTCCTCCAATCCTGATGCCACATTTTTCTTCATATAACCCAGCTTCTCGGATTATTTGCTCAGCATACAGGTTGAATAAGTATGGTGAAAGAATACAACCTTGTCGCACACCTTTCTTAATTGTTAATCATTCAGTGTTCCCATGTTCTGTTTGAACAACTGCCTCTTGGTCCAGGTACAGATTCTTCATGAGCACAATTAAGTGTTCTAGAATACTCATACTTCGCAATGTTGTACATAGCTTGTCATGATCCATGTAATTGAAAACTTTTGCATAGTCAATAAAGCACAGGTAAACATCTTTCTGATATTCTCTGATTTCAGCTCAAATCCATTGGACATCAGCAATGATATCCCTCATTCCACAGCCTCTTCTGAATCCGGGTTGAACCTCTGGAAGTTCTCTGACAATGTATGCTTGCAGCCGTTTCTGTATTACCTTTAATAAAACTTTACTTGCATGGGATATCAAAGAGATTGTCCAATGATTTCCACATTCCATTGGGTCACCTCTCTTTGGAATGGGTACAAATACGGATCTCTTCCCATCATTCAGCCAGATAGTTGTCTTCCAAATTTATTGGCATAGATGAATGAGTGCCTCCTGTGCCGCCTCACTTTCTTGAAAGATTTCAATTTTTATTCCATCACTTCCTGGTGTCTTGTTCTTTGCAAATGCCTTCAATGCACCTTGGACTTTCTCCTTCAGTATCATTGACTCTTGATCATATACTACCTCTTGAAACAATTGAACATTAACCATTTCCTTTTGGTACAGTGACTCTGTGTATTCCTTCCATCTTCTCTTGATGCTTTCTGCATCATTCAAGATTTGCCCAGAGAATCTTTCAATAATGAGAGTTGAGGCTTGAATTTTTTCTTCAGTTCCCACAGCATGAGAAATGCTGAGTGTATTCTCCCTTTTTGGTTTTCTGCCTCCAGATCTTTGCACATTTTGTTGTAATATTTGGCTTTATCTTCTCGAGCTGATCTTTGAAATTTTCTGTTCAGCTCTTGGACCTCCTCATGTCTTCCATTTGCTTTAGCATCTCTACTCTGGAGAGCAAGTTTCAGTGTCTCTTCTGACATCCATTTTGACTTTTTTTTTTTTTTCTTCTCAATAACTATTTGCTTTCTTTTTGTATGATGTTCTTGATGTCATCCCACAATTCTTCTGGTCTTCGGTCTTTAGTATTTAATTTATCAAATTTGTTCTTCATATGATCTCTAAATTGAGGTGGGATATATTCAAGGTCAATTTTGGCTCTTATGGCCTTTTTTTCAGAAGGGAAAAAAAAACTAGCTTCCCTGATTAGAAAGTCAGTTGTTAAGTGCTACTTCTGACTCATAGCGACCCTGTATAGGGTTTCTGAAGACCAGCTGGTGAGTTTGAATAGCCAACCTTGAGGTTTAAACTGACCTTAATGTCGAGTGCTTATCCTATGGTGCCAAACCAGTAGATTTAAAAAAATTATTATTATGGGGAGTTGAGAATGAAGGGAGAGGTTTCAGGGAACTGAGAGTTATATGTAGAGAAAGGAGAATCAAGGGAAAGGAACGTTTGAGAAGTGTGGCTGTGAGTTATAAATTGGGTTCCCTTTAAGACCCTTAGAGATTAAACTGAATATTGGAATTGCTTTTGGTTCTTTTTAATCACTGGCTTATATTTCTTTGATGCAAAATCACACTGAGATTGGGCCATATAGGATCCTAGGACTGATTTGGGTTTCACAGGAGAAAATAGGTCTGTTGCTGCCACCCAGTCTATTCTGACTCATAGTGACCCCATGTACAGAGGAGAACTGCCCCGAGGGTTTTCTAGACTAATCTTTACTGGAGCAGAGTGCTAGGTCTTTCTCCTGTGGAGATGCTGTTGGGTTTGAACCACTGACCTTTTGATTTGTAGCTGAGAACTTAACATTTGTGCTATTTGATGTTGTTGTTAAGTGCCATTGAGTTGATTCTGACCCATAGCGACCCTGTATAGGGTTTCTGAGGGGCAGCTGGTGAGCTTGAACCACTGACCTTGCAGTTCAAATGGCTTTGCAGTCTAACGCATTAGCCCACAGCGCCACATCAGTGCTCCTTTAAACAGGTTAACTCAAACCAAATGGGAAGTTATTATAATCAACTTGATTTCCTCCCAGATGGGGTGAATGTGAGCCTGACCCGGGCACTGTAAGCAGACAAATTTCCTCTTCAGTGCCATTCCCCACCCATTGGCATAGCAGCCACAGCAATGGTCAGCACTTCCTGACTTTGTGTCACCTGCAGGTAGAGGCTGTCATGGTGGAACTGAGTCTGAGTCATGTGGCAGATCAACTGATTGGCAACTACAACTTTGGGGGAATTTCCAGTGGTGAGCGGCGCCGGGTCTCCATCGCAGCCCAGCTCCTCCAGGATCCCAGTAAGTGGGACCTAGAACTGCTAACAGTTGCTGCCGAGCTAGCTTTCAGATACCTCAAGTCCTTTCTTGACACTCTATTTGGGAAGAGGTTGGTGTGAAACTTAAGTTACTGAAAGTTTTCGAATTGGGAGCCAACTTTTTTTCTTTTATTTAATACTAAAGGATTCACTTTCAGGTACTATTCCATTGGCCAAGTTCAATACACTTTTTTTTTCCAATACACTTTTTGACTTGAAAGCATTGCATTTGCATTTTGGTGTTCAATTAGGGTCTTCCATAAGCATGTGGCCCGGTCCTGACCATCCTAATTTCTTACTAGAGCACCATCACTGTGTCTTCTGGGAAACCAGTGAGTTTTGGTGTGACTACAAGTGTTTATGGCATGACGGGAATTGAAGAAGTACTCTGAGAAATACTCTGAAAAGGGCATGTGTCTTGGGAGGGAGTATCAAAGCCTTCCTGGCTTGGTTATTCTCCCACAGCTGGGAGGAATCTCAGCACTTCTGTGCATCAGACAAGGGTATATTGTGTGGATACTTTCTTTAACAGGGTTAGACACAGACTGCCTGTTTTTCAAATGCTCTTTGATCAACAGAGGGCAAATAAGAAAGATGTTCTCAAGAGCCCTGTTTACCTCTTAGCAATATGGCAACAGTTAAACTCTTTAAAGAACTTAAACATCTGCTTCATGTTTCACTGGTTAGATTTTTTGTTTTTTTGCAGTGCAAAGGCCTTGTTAGTATTGGTCATATTGGTTAGTATGCTGCAGTCATAAAATGGGGTTGTTGTTAGGTGTCATTGAGTCAGTTCTGACTCAAAGCGACCCCATATAGGGTTTCTAAGGAGTAGCTAGTGACTTTGAACTGCCATCCTTGTGGTTCAAAGTCCAGTGCTGATCCTACAGCACCACACCACGTGCTTTAAAAATGACCTATTGGACTTTGTTCCCTGTTTGGGTCACCTGGACAGAGCCCAGACAGACTATAGCACTGCATCAGAGGTGACCTGGCTGCTTCTCTGTCCCTTTGAGGATTAAGGCTCAAATGTGACCCAGAGCTGGGGGTTAGGCCTCCCAGTTCAGGAACTTTCTTTTGGGACCAGGTTGGGAACCAGTTCATATGCAGCCTTTCCCCATACATTTGGGATGGGTCAAAATTCTGAGTTTTAAGCACAGTTCCCAGACTCAACAGGGGCTCACACATGTGCTTTGTGGACAGAGGTCATGCTGTTTGACGAGCCAACCACAGGCCTGGACTGCATGACGGCCAATCAGATTGTCGTCCTCCTCGCAGAGCTGGCCCGCAGGGATCGCATTGTAATCCTCACCATCCACCAACCCCGCTCCGAGCTCTTCCAGGTAAGGGCTGAGCCACTCAAGGGTAGGCATGAATGTGCTAAGGTGGGGATGTCAGGAGGTGGGACAGATTGTTATTGTTGGTTGCCCACAAGTCACTTCTGATTCATGACGACACATATGTGCAGAGTAGAACTGCTGTATAGGGTTTTTAGGCTGTGACCCTTCAGAAGTGGATCACTAACGCTTACTTTGGAGGTGCCTCCAGATGAGTTAGAACTGCCAACTTTTCAGTTAGTAGTTGAGCAAAGACGAATGCTGTCACACGAGAGAAATTGGAGCCAATCATTCTAACGGGAAGGACAAAAGATGAAAACTACTTTTTTTCAGTGTTTTACATATGCCAAATGGGTATCAGTATATCTACTTTATAGGAGCTCTGGTAGTGTAGTGGTACTTCAAGGTCAGCAGTTCAAAACTACCAGCTGTTCTGCGGGAGAAAGCTGGGACTTTCTGCTCCTGTAAAGATTTACAGCCTCGGAAACCCTGTACAGGGTCACTGTGAGTCGGGACCGACTCCATGGCACACCATCACCATATCTACTTTATAGAGGCCAAGTGTGAGACTTAGAAGTGATACAAAACTGAGCTAATATCACAGTTAGTAAAAAGCTGGAATTACCATTCGTAGTTGCAGTTGTTGTCAAAGACTGTTTTTCTAGTAGATCACATAGATCCCCTTCCAGAACTCTGGTGCTGCAGGTTAATGCTCTGGACTGCAAGGTCAGTTTGAACCTCAAGGTCAGTGGTTCAAGCACACCATCCACTCCTTGGAAACGATCCTATATGGGGTTGCTATGAGTCAGAACCAACTCTACGGCACTTAACAACAACAATCCTATTAAAACGCGTGTTGTCGAGTCAATTTGACTCACAGTGACTCTGTAAGACAGAGTACAACTGTGCCCATAGGGTTTCCCAGGCTGTAATCTTTACGGAAGCAGACAGACTCATCTTTCTCCTATGGAGCAGCTATTGATTTTGAACCACTGACCTTTCGATTAACAGCCAAGTACTTAACAATAGTGCCACCAGGGTTCCTTCAGAATCGAGTCAGTTCTGAGCCATACTGACTGTATAGGACAGAATAGACAGACCTCCTCCTTAAGGTTTGTGAGACTAAATCTTTACAAGAGCAGATAGCTCCTCCCACCTCCCTCTGGAGCACCTGGTGGGCTTGAACTGCCAATCTTGTGGTTTGTAGTCCAACAATTAACCCACAGTGCTGCCAGGACTCCTTAGTATCTTTTTGTTGTTAAGTGCCATTTTGTTGTTTTGGATTCCTAGGGTTTCTGAGGAGTGGC